AACCTAGGCAAAACTATCCAGAACATAGGCATAGGCAAGGGCTTTATGATTAAAACACCAAAAACAATGGTAACAAAAGCCAAGATAGACAAATGTGATCCAATTAAACTTTAGAGCTTCTGTACAGCAAAAGAAACAATCATTAGAGCAAACTGGCAGCTAACAGATTGTAAAAAATGTTTGCAATCTACCCATCTGACAAAGGGCTAATATCCAGAATCTACGAAGAAAACAGATTTACAAGAAAAAAACAAAGAAACCCATTCAAAAGTTGTCGAAGGATATGAACAGACACTTTTCAAAAGAAGACAAACATGAGGCCAACAAACATATGAAAAAATGCTCATCATCACTCGTCATTAGAGAAATGCAAATCAAAACCACATTGAGGTATCATCTGATGCCAGTTAGAATGGCGATCATTAAAAATCTGGAAACAGATGCTGGAAAGAATGTGGAGAAATAGGAACCCTGTTACATTGTTGGTGGGAGTGCAAATTGGTTCAAGCATTATGGAAGACAGTGTGGTGATTCCTCAAGGAATTAGAAATAGAAATTCCATTTGACCCAGCAATCCAATAACTGGGTCAATACCCAAAGGATTATAAATTGTTCTATTATAAAGACACATGCACATGTATGTTCATTGCGGCACTATGTATAATAGCAAAGACCTGGAGCCAACCCAATCGCCCATTAGTAATAGACTGGACAAAGAAATGTGGCACACATACACCATGAAATACTACGCAGACATAAAAAACAATGAGTTCATGTCTTTTGTAGGGACTTGGATGAATTTGGAAACCATCATTCTCAGCACACTGACACAAGAACAGAAAACCAAACAGTGCATGTTCTCACTCATAGGCCGGTGTTGAACAATGAGAACATGTGGACTCAGGGAGTAGAGCATCACACATGGGTCAGTTGCGGGGTGCTAGGGGAGGGACAGTGGGGAGTGGGGAGGGTGGGGAGGGATGATGTGGAGAGAAATGCTGGATATAGATGAAGGGGGATTGGAGGCAGCAAACCACCTGGTTATGTATGCGCCTATGCAACAATGCTGCATGATCTGTATATGTACCCCAGAAACTAAAGTGCAATAAAAAATAAAAATAAAACAAAATAAAATCAAATCTTAAAAACAGCCAGAGAAAAAGAAACATTTTATACAGAGAAGCAGAGATAATAACAAAGCAATGCAAGCCATAAGACAATGAAACAACAACCTTAAATTACTTAAGAAAAAAAGTCAACCCACAATTCCTTACTGACATTTCAACAATGAAGGAGAAATTTTTCATACATACAAAGATAGTGAGATTAGTCTTCAGCAGATATGCACTCCAAATACTATTAAAGAAAATTCCTAGTGCATTGTTTTGCTAAGACTGCCATAAAAAAACATATCATAGAGTGGGTGGCTTAAATAACAGAGATTATTTTCTCAGAGAAAGTCTGAGACCAAGTGGTCAGCAGGTTTAGTTTCTACTAATATTTCTATCTTGGCTTCCAAAATGGCCACATTCTTGCTGTGACATCACACAGCCTTTTCTCTGTGTGCATATATTTCTGGTATTTCTATCTGTTTCTACTAGAACACCAATCATATTAGATTAGGGCCACACTCATTGAGTTGATCTAAACATAATTATCTCTTTGAAGGTCCCATCTCCAAATATAGTAATGACACAGGATCCTTTGGGTGCCACTTTGCCAGCCAGAAACCTCTGTGGCTGACAGCACTTCTGCTCACATTTCACTTGTACCCCCTGGGCTTACTCCACCTACTGTCTGACAGGCTGTGCTCAGCTCACACTACCAGCCCAGATCCCATGCCCACTGAGAGTGAGCCAGGTATAGTGAGGGGCATGTGAGTGAGTGAGTGCAGGGCCTGGCCACAGCACACAGCCAGGAGTGCCAGCTGCTGAGGTGAGGCAGGCAGCTCCTGGTGCTTGCACAGGTTCACGCTCTGTGTGAGGCTGCAGCTGGACCAAGAGTATTGCAAATGGATTTTTCCTTAGATGCTGGCTGGCATCTGGATGAGGGGAACATGATAGTGCCCAATAACTTGGAGATGCCAGCAACCATGGAACTCCAGCATTTCACAGTTTGTTCATTTCTACTGTCTTCAGCATGGCGAATTGGTTTGTGGGGTATGTGTTTCAGTTTGTTATTACATCTGGTTTGGTCCCACTACCTTGCTCTCACCTAGGGATCCTGAGCTGGCCCAACCCTGCTGCTCCTTCCTCTCATGTGTGGTGGCGCTGGCAGAGAGCAGGAGGGGTATAGTGTTACAGCTCCTTTCCTACAGGTCCATTCAGTAGGTTCTGGGTTCTTGTCCTAAGAAGAATGAGGTTACATGGACCACCAGAGAGTAAGCAAAGCAGAGAAGAGTTTTATTGAGTGACAGAACAGCTTTCAGCAGAGAGGGGACCCAAAGAGGGTAACCCCTACCTGAAGGTGGGTAGTCCCAATGTGTGGCTGAGTCTTGGGTTTTTATGGGCTCAGAATTTAGGAGGGCACACTGATTGATCCACTGATGGGCCTGGAAAAAGCACCATTTGGTTGGCTAAAAGGCAGGCTTCAGGCTGTCTTCTGGCTTGAAGGTTGGGTTTCACTAGTGACCTGACCCTGTGTGCCTAGGAATCTGTCCATTTCCTGAAACTATCAGTAACATTCTGCTGTGTACTGGGAGTTAAGACACCAAAGACTTAGGGAATAGGAAAATGTTGCCAGAGTGAAATTGTGAACTGAACACACACACACACACAATTAGCAATAGTAAAAATATAAATAAACATACAAGGGTTTTTTTTCTCATTATTTGATCTATGTAAAAATTATTGATAGCTTAAAAAACAATTTCTACTTTATAATATATATAGAAATAAAAAGTATGACAGTAGTACTATGAAAGGCAGAGGAGAAAAATGAAAATATACTGTTATGAGATTTTATGCTGTATGTGAAGTTATATAACATTATTTGAATATAAATTATAATAATATGAAATTATTATATTTTAACCAATTGGCAACCAAAAAATGAAAGAGATAAAATGAATGAGCCATTTGTGATGATAAAATTCATTGATAAAATAGAACCAATCTAAAGAAGCAAACAAAGATAAAAAATGAACAAAGAAAAGATGAGACAAATAGAAAACAAATAGCAGGGTACTAGATGTAAATCTAGTAATATCAATAATTACATGAATTATAAATAGTCTGGACACTCCAATTACAGTGCAGAGATTTTTAGATTGGATAAAAACATACCTGCATGGTTCACAAAATGTATTCACTTAGAACATACAGACAGGTAGATTAAAAGTAAAAAGATGGCCAATGTATGTGTGTGTGTGTGTGTGTGTGTGTGTATATATATATAATTATATATATAAGCAAATACTTTAAAAAGCTTTAAAAAGAAAACAATATGCTGGGAGACTTCTACCTCCAAACAGGATACATAGCAGGGCATTTAACAATGGAAAAAAAAAGTATAGTACATTTAACAATAAAAAAAAACAATGTTTTTTAAACCTGGAGTATCAAAAACCTCAGAATTCACATTCTTAACAATGAGTAAACAAGGTAAGCACCATTCTTAGCCTAGTTTACTGCCTGGAGAAAAGTTGCACACCACAGAGGAGGGAGAATGAAGCTAGGTACATTTTGTAGTCTCTGTGAGTTGAAGAGATAAAGTTAAAATTCAGGTCAGGGGAGGAGGCAAGAAGTCTAGAATTCACCAGAAGGGATACTGGAGAGCAGACAGCTTCAGAAAGTGAGGGCTACAGAAATCTGCAAAAGAACACTGAGCCTTTAGCTGAGTTCTAACCGAAGGACATGTGTAAAGCAACTACCCGAACTGGGTCATTTGTAATTAAGAATTGATTTAAAAATTTCTATGGTACCCATTTTAAAAAATGATATTAAAAAGGAGAAAATAAAGATAGTACAAAAATAGTAATAAGATATACTGAGTAATACAAACAAAGAAAGGGAGAGTAAGGAAACAAAAATAGACGGGCAATTAGATTAAAAACATAATGAGATAATAGACTTAAACCCTATTGTTATCAGTAATTACTTACATAGAAATAAACACTTTTATTAAGACAGAATTTCATACTTCCAGAACACTTCCTTCTGACACACTAGATGTGTGGAATTTTTGTCCCATATTGAAAATTCTCTGATGCCAGCTGCACATCAAATTCCATTGAATTCTGGTACTAACCAGAGTTAGTGCAGACCCAGAAGGTTAAGGGCTCAGGCCCACAACGCTGGCTCCCACTTCAGATGCCAATTGAAAGTGGTCAGCTTCCAAAAGAACCAGAACTTCTTTCTGACTTGGTTACAAACAGGAGGTTCCCATAACCCTCATGTTTGATGATTTTCCAGAACAGCTCAAAGAGCTTAGGAAACACTTATGTTTAACAGTTTTCTATAAATGAGATTACTAAGTACACAGGTAAACTGAGATGAAGAGGTGCGTAGTGCAAGTTATGTGAGAAGGGGTGCAGAGCTTCTGTGTTCTCAACAGCCATGCTACCCTCCCAGCAACTTCATGTCTTCAGAAACTTGTAAGATTTTCAAACCTCTTTATCGTCTCTCTCTCTCTCTCTCTCTCTCTCTCTCTCTCTCTCTCCTCTCTCTCTCTCTCTCTCCTCTCTCTCTCTCTCTCACCTCTCTCTCTCTCTCTCTCTCTCTCTCTCTCTCTCGCTCTCGCTCTCGCTCTCTCTCTCTCTCTGTGAGCGTGTGTGTGTGTGTGTGTGTGTGATGGAAGCTTCACTATAGAGTCATAATTGATTAACTAACTGACCATTGGGGATTATGTCAATATTCAGTCCCTCTCCCATCCCTGGAGGTAGGGGATGGGGCTAAAAATTCTAACCCTCTAATTACATAGGAGGGGTAACCAGCACCTTCTTGAGGCTATCCAGGAGACCCTGATACAATTATCTTATGTACATACAAACAGAGACTTACCGTTTTGGAGATTCCAAGTGTTTTAGAAGCTGTGTGTCAGGAAAGTGTGGAGAAGGAGAGATGATGGGACAGAATCTAAATATATACATTATTATGTCACAGTAACAATAGTTACCCTTTTATGAAATGAAGCAGTCTTATTCTTAAACTTACGGTTTATCACCCAGAACAACACTAGGCATATAGTCAATGTTCAATAATTTTTTAAGTAAATAAATAAATGAATAGCTCAGATCGTTTATGACTGTTACTCTTTCCTCATTTCCGTGTAGAGCTAGCTGAATTTTATTTGAGACCAAGGTTGTTGTATCAATTGTGTGCTTACTTTTTAGGAAAACTTTTATTAGATTCAGGAAGGCAGCTGCTTATTTGTTGGTGGCTCAATTGTTTTATACTACGTGAGGAAAAATAACAATATCTCATATGAAAACATTCTTACTGGGCCGGGCGCGGTGGCTCAAGCCTGTAATCCCAGCACTTTGGGAGGCCGAGACGGGTGGATCACGAGGTCAAGAGATCGAAACCATCCAGGTCAACATGGTGAAACCTCGTCTCTACTAAAAATACAAAAAATTAGCTGGGCATGGTGGCGCGTGCCTGTAATCCCAGCTACTCAGGAGGCTGAGGCAGGAGAATTGCCTGAACCCAGGAGGTGGAGGTTGCGGTGAGCCGAGATCGTGCCATTGCAATCCAGCCTGGGTAACAAGAGCGAAACTCTGTCTAAAAAAAAAATAAATAAAAAAAAAAAAAAGAAAAGAAAAACATTCTTACACCAGATATCTCAGGTTAGTCCAAAATTGTGTCTAATACATGTTCTATTCAAAATCTTTATACTCAAGTGAAGTGTATCTTTTCCTTCTTAGATTTTCAAAATGAGATCAACGCAATTGTGATGGTGTACTTTAGGAATACTGTCATATACAAGCTGGCATTTACTCTTCTTTCATCATCTTTAAAGATAAGATAAATATAAATGCAACTTTTGTGTAAGACAATGGAATTAGTTGTTTTGCCGCACATTGTTATTATATAGGGGCATTTTAAAAAATTTATCATTTGTTTTGCTGCTGCTTGTAATTTCAGATCCACTGAAAGCAAGCCACATTGTTTTGAAATAAATCTTACATAGGAAAATGGAAGATAAGGCGTTTATGAGTGTATAGTATTTAAATCCAAATTATTATTTAGAGAAGTTAAAAAAGAAAGTTTCAGAACACATTTAACACACTGACACCCTCTTCTTCATTCATGAAGTTGTTTCTAAACATGTTAGAAAAACAACCAAAAAATTACAAAATAAAAACATGACCTTTTAAGTTGGACTGAACATGTAAAGTGAGATAAAAATTCAATAGGTTTTGGGATCTATGTTTTTTTCTACCGTAGTTTCTATATAGCTGAGTAAAAATTTCCCTTTCCAATGATTGAAATGGACTTAATCCATGAGACATTTACATCATTTAAGGAACTGGAATATTTTTAAGGCAATTGCTTACTTCTGTAACCTTGAAAATAATTATACTACAAAGAAAAAACCCAAACATTGTGGATTTTTAAAAGCACCCTTATTCTTTTCCTTCTTGTTTATTAACATTTGTTTTGATTTAGCAATATTGATGTAAAGTAGCTGAACCAAGGAACTAAGGCCATAGAAACAATAACAGGAAAGCTATTTGCACTTGTTATTAATTGTTAATTGTCTTCTGATCCTTAAACTAGATACCCAAACTGAAGAGACCACTATCAGGAAGAAAGCCAAATTATATGAACACTGTAGGTGCCCCAATGCAAGTGATTTCTAAATATACTGTCCAAGTGTCACTGAATAATTCTATTTGATTTTTTTCATACACTAAAATGTGTAGTGTCAAAAATATTTGCCCCAATGCAAGTTTTCAGAAATTGGTATCTCAATGCATACAGTTTTCCTGAGAGATTGTCTCAGAAAATTAACCAGAGATTGCATTTTACATACATTCGGGTGACATAGGGCAAAAATGTTATTATATTTTTGATGATAAAATATTCATAATCATTCATTTCAAGTTTATTTTTGACCTTTGTAGTTTATGTTTAAGGCAAGCTTAACTATTTACTTTCTCCTTTCTCTAAACACTCATTATTATCATACCTGTGTGTATTTGCCTGCCTTCTTACTAAAATGTTATCTGCCCTGATCTATACAGATAGATATGACCTTTCACTTTTTAAAATTGTCATGATGCAATTGCCACTGCTTTTATGACATGAATCGCATTCTACTGTATACTGTATTTGTATAGTGCATCCTTATTTCCTATGTTAGGTTGAAAAAATTTTGAATTTAATGTCAGGATCTACTTTTTAAACCTTTACTAAGCTATTCTTTTTTTTTTTTTTTAGAAAAAAGAAAAAAAGGAGTGAAGGAGAGGAAGAAAGAGGGAAAGAGGAAGAAAAAGAGGGAGAGAAAACGGGAATGAAGCTTTATTCTAAAAAATGGGTATTAATAATGGCTGATCAATATTTTGTGTATTTAATGTGGAGAATGTATATTTTGTGTATTTAAAATGGAAAGCTCCATAAATATTTATTGAGTTTACTTGTTCTGGATCTGAGTTCAAGTCCTGGATATCCTTATTAATTTTCTGTCTCATTGAGTCTAAATCTCTTTATGAATCTTATGTATCTGGGTGTTAGGATCATTAGCTCTTACTGTTGCATTGATTCTTTTACCATTATATCTTTGTTGCTTTGAAATCTATTTTATCAGATGCGAGAATGGCAACTCCTGCTTTTTATTTATTTATTTATTTTTGCTCTCCATTTGGTTGGTAAATCTTTCTCCATCCCTTTGTTCTAAGCCTTTGTGTATCTTTGGATGTGAAATGGGTCTGGATGTAGCATATCGTTAGGTTTTGGCTGTATCTTTTGATTGGGGGATTTAGTCGACTTAAATTTAGGGTTACTGCCATTTGATGTTAACTGGCTATTTTATCCATTCGTTGATGTAAATTCTTCTTTATGTTGATGCTCTTTACTTTTTGGTATATTTTTAGAAAGGCTAATACTGGTTGTTTCTTTCTATGTATAATGCTTCTTTCAGAAGCTCTAGTAAAGCCGGCCTGGTGGTAATAAAATCTCTGAGTACTTGCTTGTTCATAAAAGATTTTATTTTTTCTTCAATTGTGAAGCTTAGTTTAGCAGGATATGAAATTCTGGGCTGAAAGTTCTGTTCTTTAAGGATGTTGAATATCGGCCCCCACTCTCTTCTGGCTTGTAGGGTTTCTGCTGAGAGATCTGCTGTAAGTCTGATAGGCTTCCCTTTGTGGGTAACCTGACATTTCTCTCTGGCTGCCCTTAGTATTTTCTCCTTCGTTTCAACCCTGGTGAATCTAACGATTATGTGCCTTGGGGTTGCTCTTCTTGAGGAATATCTTTGTGGTGTTCTCTGTATTACCTGGTGTTGAATATTGTGCTGCTTTGCTAGATTCGGAAAGTTTTCCTGAATAATATCCTGAAGAGTATTTTCCAGCTTGGATTCATTCTCTTCGTTGTATTCAGGTACACCTATCAAATGTAAATTAGGTCTTTTCACATAGTCCCATATTTCTTGGAGACTTTGCTCATTCCTTTTTATCCTTTTTTCTCTATTCTTGTCCTCTCGTTTTATTTCATTAAGTAGGTCTTCGACCTCTGATATCCTTTCTTCTGCTTGATCAATTCAGCTATTCAAACTTGTGCATATTTTGCTAAGTTTTTGTGTTGTGTTTTTCAACTCCATTAGTTCATTTATATTCCTCTCTATATTGTCTATTTTTGTTAGCATTTCATCAAACCTTTTTTCAAAGTTCTTAGTTTCTTTACATTGGGTTAGAACAAGTTCTTTCAACTCCCAGAAGTTTCTTATCATCCACCTTCTGAAGCCTACTTCTGTTAATGGCACACAGTCCTTTTCCATCAGGGCTTGTTCCATTGCTGATGAGAAACTGTAATCTCCTGTAGAGGGAGAGGGGTTCTGATTTTGGGTATTCTCAGCCTTTTAGGCTGGTTTCTTCCCTTTGTTATAAATTTATCCATCTGTCATCTTTACAATTACCACCTTTCTAGTTGAGTTTCTGAGTGGATGCCCAGTTTATTGATTCCCAGCGCTGGAATCTGAGCAATCCACTGTGCTGGCCAAAACAGCAGTGATAAGACTGGTGGTGCTCTTCTGTCCAGGAATCTCCTCCCGTTTACTCTGCACAAAGAGCTGCTGTGTCGAGGCTCCAGCAAAACTACTGTGCCGGCCACAAGAGTCGTGCTGGCGACCTGTGGGGCCCCTCCACTGGGAATCTTCTGGTCTGTGAGCGACGAAAATTCGTCTGAAAGTGTGGCGTTGTTCTTGTTCTCTGGGCTTTCACTGGGAGCTACAATCCCAAACTGTTAGCGATCAGCCATCTGAATCTTTTCCTACTAAACTATTCTTTATATATTTGGTAGTAAACAGATAACTGCAGAAAAAAATGTTAAAATAATAGAATTTTTTTCTGATCGTATCTGGTTGTTGCTTTTTCATTTTATAATTAGGGAAGGTGATTAGAAATCACCCCATTATAGAAATCGAAAATTTTAATGGGAAAACAAGGAGGGTAAAACTTTTTTAAACATATACAACAAAGAGAATTGTATAAGAAATGATGATTCACTAAACTTCACTACCTGCAGAAAGATAAAAAATTTCTTGAGAATCAAAGTTACTAATGCAGCTATTTATTAATGGTGAGAAATTCTAGTACTAAAAGTTTATAGAAACTTTTAGTAAGTGTAGAATTCCATTTTCTGAAATCTTTCCATGAAACTCTGTCTGAAGGGTGAGCATGACCCTGTAAGGTGCAAATTTAGTAGGCACAGCCACAATCAACTTAATGTTCTTCATTTTATTTTCTCCACACAGTCTCAGGCCTGATATTACTGTACTTGAAAAATACAGTAAAATCCTATGTAATTTGAAAGCCAGGAAAATATAGTGTCAACTTAGTTGTTTGGCTGTCTAAGGTTTAAGCAGCAAACCTTCATTATGGAAGGCTGTGTCACATTTTTTCATA